TATTTATCTTGAAATGAGTTCAACAGAGTTGATGAGAGTAGGCTTGGCTGTTTCAATAAATTTTACTGATAATGTTAATTGGCGTTGCAGTTTTAAATAAGTTTGCTAAGTGCTGTCATAATTGCATTAAAACTCTAGGTTTTATCTTCATCATGTGCTGATAGCTACAGTCTTCTTTCCCCTTTTTTCATCTTATCTTTCTTTCTTTGGACTTTCAGTCACTTTTACTGTTTACTGGAGTTGGTTTCTAAATTCTAATTTCTTATCTCTTAGTTTTTTTCCCGTAATGCAGTGTTCAAGTGAAAAAGTTGCAAAATCCAGAGACAGTGTTTGAAACAATCATTGGCCTTGCTGTTCGTCTGGCAGAACATGGCCTAATTCATTGCGACTTCAATGAGTTTAACATAATGGTATTCCTTTAAGACTCTTTATTTCATCACAGTGACCATTTTTTTTTGTCTTTTTCTTGTCGGCTTGCAACTTTAGTAAGATCACGACATTACTTGGTTTAATTTCCTTCAATTAAAAAAAATGCTTCTTTTAAATTAATAATATTGATTTGAAATTTCTTCTCTGTAGATTGATGATGATGAAAAGGTGACAATGATTGATTTTCCCCAAATGGTATCTGTTTCACATCGTAATGCACAGATGTATGTTTCACCACCTTCTATCTAATGCTATTCCTAGTTCTCGTGATCATTTTACTTGTGAATTAGTTGTTGTATACTTATTTATTTGAAAGTTTCTGTTATGTTGTTCAGGTACTTTGATCGTGATATAGAATGCATTTACAAGTTTTTTTGGCAAGAGGTCAGTGTTTTTTTTCTTTCTAATTTAATATTACATTTTATATGATGATTTATGTAATCTTTAATAGCTTTCCCAGTATCGTTGTTGCTTTCTGATGTTTGTATGTAGGAAGCCAGTTGATGAATTTTAAACTGATTCTCTACGTGTGTGTTGGCATAGGCTGTTAGTTCATCTACTTGGATTCTCCTCCATAGATAAATTTCTATGAAGGTAGTTCTTTTGGTCTTAGTAAACAACCTCATCGTGTATTTGAGCACCATAAATATTGGGTTCTTAGTTTCAAATGATAACCTTCTCTAGATGCATTTGTTTTTATCCTATCCTATTTGTAGTTGAAGATGAAGTGGTGGCACTAGGTAAAATCTTTTCAATTGAAACATGCCTTGATCAATTCCTAAAGGTGACAGTTGAAGTTTGAAAGTATTGTGCTAATGTTTCATTCCGAAAGAGAACTCTTGTGATTGTAGAGAGGAAGGATCTGTGTTATTGCATTCAACTTAGTCACAATGACGAAGGAACTCTAATAATTATTTTGTGATCCCTTTTCCTTTGCATAAAGTCTTTGAATTCCAAAGCCATAGAATCCATGTATCATTATTTATGTTCACATTTTCTTCGGTACATAAGAATACCTTGATGAAACCCTGTTCCATTTTCTTTCTTGCTGCCATCTATGCTGTTAATCTTTTCCTGTCTTTATAGGCTCAACTTGTCCTTTGAAGAACGTTCTGATGATATTGACAACTCAGATGTAGACCCAGATGAAAGTAGCAGACCTTCCTTTTCTTCAATAGCCAAAACTGCTGGTTTTCTTGACAAGGAGCTCGCTGCCTGTGGATTTACTAGAAAAGATGAGGATGAAATTCAGAAAGTACGAAGCATACTTTACTGTGATTACCATTTTATGTGCTTGTGTGTGTTTTTATGTATTGGTAATTTATTCTTATGCCATATGCTGAAGTCTTCTTTCAGACTTTCATAGGATATCATATCATGCATAATAATTACTTCTAATGCTACTTTTTGCAGTTCATTGAAGGTGATGTCGAAGAGGATGATGTTTCTCGCAGTGAACATGATTCTGAGTTATATCAAACTAATATAAAGGTTTTGATTCATTGCACTTAGATCAGGTGTGTTCTTCTGGAGCTTTTGGATTATGAACACGATTCTGAGTTATGACAAACATAATATGCATATCTGGATGCTGATGATCTTATGGATAACTGCAAATTGATTCAGGAAGAGCCAACTTCAGGTTGTAACGAGGAAGATCAAGTAGATGAAAATCTGCAAAGCTCTGAAGCAGGCCAAAGCGGTGATCCTGAAGGTCGTTACTCAAGCAATGAGGTATATATATTTTCCTTATTCCAACTATAATCGTATCTGTATTTTCTTGAAGATGTAAGTGCAAGAACAATATAGTGGTTTCGATATTAAGGAGATTGCTTATGCTAGTTTTGATGTTCCAGGAGGAAGATGATGAGCAGAAGGGTGAAGAAGATGACACTGAACTCGTGAAGAGCTTTGCCAAGCAGAGACGACGGGCAATGGCAGCAGCACGCAAAGGACACAAGAATACTGCCTCTAGAAATTCCTACAAAGACAAAGGGGGTAAATCTTCCAATAATTCTAAAATCCAGAAACAACTGAGTTGTTGGTAAATTTTAGTATTGATCCAGCACAATCTGAGGTATATATAAAAATTTCTCCTACTATTTTTTATATATTTATATTATATTAAATGGCCATTTTCATGATATACCATTAAATGGTCTCCTATTAGAGAGGCAGGACCATTGCCTAGAACATATTGATCATCAAATGGTCATTTTCATGCTATACTATTATATATATATATATATATATTAAACCAGAATTGTGTTTGGATCAAGTTTGTCAATTCCAGAAATTTAGGGCTTATGTTCAGTTTTAGCTCAAATTTCATTTTGTAGTGTGTGTTGGTCTGTTTTGGTCAGTGTTGCATACATGTATCAGATCAGTTGGCAAGATTTTGATTTTATAAAATTATAGCCGTTGGGTAAGAGCGTATAAGTACTACTGTTATAAGTAGTATTAATATTGTATGAGTATCAAGATTAAAATGGTATACTGAAATTTGTTATTTTTCAAAATTATAAGGATAGTATCACTACTACCATCCAAAGTATTGATGCTGAAAGAGTATCAATACCAAAATGGTATTCTGGAATTTGAACACCAAAAGGAGTATCGGTACTCTCATGAGTAGTATTGGTACTGCTGTGAATTTTTAAGCTATTAGCATTGATATTATATCGATATCATATGAACAACATCGGTAATGTTGGGTTTAAAAACAATTTTTTACTCAATTATAGTATGAAACTTAGAAAATTTGTTTCAAAATTATTTTCAGTATATGACTTGAATTTTTAAAAGAGTAAGGAGTAAAATGGAGTTTTTGACCTTAAAAAGTATTTCTATATTTGAATTTATCAAGTGACCTTAGTGGTAAAATAGAATGTTATTTTTTCAAGAGGTCTTAGGTTTAAGTAGCCGTAAAATAGAATGTTATTTTTTCAAGAGGTCTTAGGTTTGAGTAGCCGTGTCCGCAAGAGTGTATACATATTATCAATAATGAAGAAATATTTTAAATAAATAATTCTTATTTCAAATAAAAAAAATTACATATACATATACTATGTTAAAAATTATTAAAAGAGATGAGTCTACATCAAATGTCATACATTTTTATGCAATAATAATGATACACGTTGATATACAAAATTATTTTTTATGCATATCTTAAAAACTTGAGAGACTTAAAGCATAATTAACCTTATTTAAAATTAAATTTTAATTAATATAGATATCTCCTCCCGCCTCTCTTTCATCTAGTTTTTATTATAAAATATTACTTCATGATATATATTTTAGGAGTTCGAACATTTTGCTTAGAATCAATCGATCTAAATGGTTAAAGGATTGATATTATCTCTTGAAGTCTTGAATTTGAGCACAATTAATTTATTAAAATGAATCTAAATACCATTTTACATAGAGATACATTAGAAATTATATAGGAATTAAATATTATACTGAAAATAAAAAATTACATTGTTGATTTTCATTCAAATTTCTATTTAAAATTTAAAAATCTTAATTAGATGGATCAAGACTCAATCTAAAAACAAAATCACATTGACTTAATATAAAGAATAAATAAATCACTTTAGCTTTGAAGAAAACTGTGACTGGATGAAAAATTCTTGAAAGAATGACTTAGTTAAAGCTTGGAAAAGAAGTGAAGAAGATGAGAGAAAATAGAGAGTTTTTCTTATAATATGGAGTGAAATAAAATGTGTTTGGGAGCTTTAAAAATTTAGGTAGTTTATTAATAGCAAAGCTTTTCTCATATTGGTAATGTTTTTGAATCATCTACCTCCATAGACAATCAAATTCTTGCTTTCTTGGAGTGGATCATTTTGTTACAAATCAATAATTTTAGTGACTAATATTACTTTTGAAATTTTAGTGAAAAAACAAAAGTTTACTCAAATATTAATGTGTGTAGTTTACCCTAAAATTAACTTTTAATGTTCATACAAATGATCATTTTAGTCTATTTTTTTGTTAGTATTTAGCCCCAATATTTTACTATTTTTTAATCAAAATAGTATTTGTTGGATGTAAATCATTAATTAACTGGTTAACATAGTCATTTTTATGTTTGTTTATTTATTGACATATGACATGACATGTCATCAAAGTATTAATGTGATCAGGTTACTAACTATGCACATATAGAAATACTACATTAAGATTATGTGTTGACTGTTAGTTAATTAATAATTTTCATCTAACAAAGATTATTTTACTAAAAATTAAAATGTTGAGACTAAAATGTTAAATGTTATGAATAAAATAAAAATGACCCTTTATACTAAAATTGAAAGCTAATTTTATCAACAAAAAAAATCATTTCTCTGAATACATTTTTGGCTTTTGATAACACCCAACTTGAAATTGACCACTCCTTTAGAATCTTCCTTAGTCTGACTCGCCCATTAATGCCCACACAATAAAACAATTCACATCAAACTTACAATATTTTAAACCATTTCAAAAACATCCCATCCCCGGCATTTTCTTGTTTCTATTTATCATAATTCTCTTACAATAAACCAAACCAAAACCATAAGCAAATGAAGTTCTCTTTTCTCTCCAATGCCAAGAACAGCAACATCTTACGACAACGTAAATCCTCTTGGCAATGGCTGCCTTGTCACCAGCCCAGAACTCTCTCTTTCAGAACAGATAACAACAACACCCTTTTCACCATCATCACCTCAGATTCCATTGTTGGGGCTGATGATACTCTTCCATTGGAGACTGTCATCCGAGGTTTAAGGTCAGATAGGCTGTTTTTCGAGCCTGGAGAGACCAGTTCAATCATGGAAGAGGCAACAAAAAGGAATGAGGAAGAAGATGATGATATTGATGGGTTGTTGCCTTTTAAAGAGAGTCTAGTGTTGTCAATGGATTCTCGTGATCCGTATGTTGATTTCAGGGTGTCAATGGAAGAAATGGTTGAAGCTCAGGGGTTAAATGATTGGGAAGGGCTTGAACAACTATTGTTTTGGTATTTGAGAGCCCATGGAAAATGCAACCATGACTACATCGTTACTTCCTTCGTTGATTCGCTTGTAGCTCGACTCACCATTAACGTTTCTAATTCAATACCTGATAATATCCATTCCCCTTCTTCCCCTTTATCTTTTGACACTTCTCCTTCGTCGTCTTCCTCTGAGGTTTTTTCTTCAACAATCATTCCTTGTGTTTGTCCACTAGAAGCTGAGAAAGGCATTGATGATGATAGCCATCGTTTATCTTCTTCTTCTCCATCATTAGAAGTAGACCAGAAGAAGGAGATGATTATTATTAAAGGTACTGAAGATGATGATGCTTCTTCATCTGTATTAGTTGTTTGATTCTTCGTTTTCAAATCTTGTGTAAACTAGTAATTTTTCCAGAAATGCGTGGTAGTTGAAGAAAATATCTTTCTACTTCTTTTTCTCATTTTCTTGTTTTTTCCCCTTGTCTCTCTTTGTTCCCAAACAGGATTCTAGACAATATAAATCTCAATATGTTAAACTTTCTCTACTGGAATTAACGAAAACAAAGCTTTTTAAAAGTACAGAGAAATTTCCATGCAATTCTCCCATGATATGAGACAAATTTTACATATTATAAAGTTGGCTTTTGATTGCTTTCTTTCTTTTTCTAATGCTACCCCACTGGCACTTATATCAGAAACTGTTTGCTCAAAAATCAATGTTTAAAATTAACATCAATATTACACATTTTGTTATTAAATTTAAATAAATTATTTATTAATTTACTAATAATTCAAATCAATTTAAAAATATTTTAATTGTTCTTTTTTTGTTCAAAATACTAAATCACAAACCTTGGACTTATTTTTTTTATCAATCATGGGTAAGTACGAGACATTATTTGTTCTAAGATAACTCTCAACTATTTGACATTAAACGTTCACACTCTTGACATTCATGGATCTCACACCTAAGACCTCAAGAAATAACAACAATTAGTAGTGTAGTTTAGCCTTCAAGAAAACATTGAGACCGAGAAAATACTTTTTTCGTTGAATTAATAATAGTCATGATTTCAACATTTATATAAATAAAATTCAATAAATTTAAGTATTCATACTTTAACAAATCTATAATTTTATTAGTCTGAAATGATTACAATAAAATATTTATTTAAAACTTTTTAGCTAATTGACAATGAGTGCACGCACATCATTTAGATGCAAATGCTCGAACTTCTAATTTATAGAAAGAATAATATTTTTTTCACTTAGACCACTCAAAGAATTTGTAATTTATATTTTTAAGAAGCATTATGTATAAATCTATAAATTAATTGAATTTAAAATTTAAAATATGAAAATAATAAAATCTCCTATTTACCATATGAAGTATTTATTGACCAAAATTACCAGTTAAAAGTTGATTTTTCTTTTCTTCCTATTGTTCATTTATATTGGAAGATGATAAGCGGGTAGGTCATCATTGTGGCCTGAAGAGAGATCATAGCCGTTGAATTCAAATTGGGAAGTCATTATCATATGATAGGTACAATTCCAAGAGGATTTTGGCATTGTCTTACTCTCATTATCCTTTGCCCTTCCACCGATATTATCTTTCTAAACCCAAAGCATTTTTCACTTTCTTTTGCATAGATTTAAATTATTATTATTTTCATAATTTAGGATGATTAACAAGATAATATATGTTTAAAATCTTTTTTAATAATTAATAATATATACATACTCTTAGACATAGTTGTTTGAATCCGATATTTCTAAGAATTATAATGTATCCTTTAACCACTAAAGTATTTTTTATGCACGACAGTTTTTTATGCATAAAATATGTGTGAAGTTGGCTAATAATTTCTTAAGAACGCTTCATCGTATTTCTTGACAATCCAATTGGTTAAGATATTTCATTATCTTGTGCAAAAGATTTCTCAACATGAAATAAGGGAAAAAAGAATTCGAATATCAAAATTGAAAGTGGATTAGATAATCAGGTGAACGAAATTCAGTTTGAACTTGATTTTCAAATTTGACCCCATGAGTTTTTAAAAATAGGTGTGATGGTTTAGGGTTCTAAATTTCTAAATTTAATTGCCCATAAAAAAGTATTAAAAAGGAAACTTTAAACTAAATATTTTTAAATAACTTGTGGCAATGGATAAGGTACTATTAGAAGAACAAAAAGGTTACTAAATTAAATGCGAAAAAAAACTCAAAATTAATAGTACTGCACATTCAAATACAAAGATCCAAACATGAATTAATTTTTTTTAAATTGTTAAATAAAATTTGAAAACATTTGAATGGAAACAAATCTCTATTGGCATGTTTGCTAGTTGCGATCGCTATCAAATAGAGCAAAAGTTGCGAGAAAAAACAACTTCTTAAACACCAACTGTCATAACCGTCTTTCGGTTGGATTCCGGAATTGAGCTTCGACTTAAGAAAATGTGGATTGGAGTCGCCACCGATCTTTTATTTTAAGATAAATAGGTAGATCGGATACCTTATTTCTTACCTGATCTGCGTCTTACCAAAGATGTGTCGGATTCGGGAGTCGGTTACAGTCAAGGAAGGGTTAACACCCTTGAACTGCCCTTTCGGTACTATGTAATTTTCAGTTGTCTTAAATTAAGAAAATTATAAGTTAAAATTAAAAAGTAAAAATACGATCCCAATTACTTACCTTAGATTGATTTGAAAATATCCTTAAAAAATCGAGAAATGTGTTAGATAAACAAGGTAAAGAAAACAAATAAGATAAAGAGAATAAAATAAAAGGGGAAAAATAAAATAAATAAAATAAATAAATAAGATAAGGAAAAAAAATAGTAAAGTAATAATTATATATAGTAATATTTGAAAAATGAAATATATATATATATATATATACATCAAAGTATTAATAAAATAAATAAGCTATATATATACAACAAATATTTAAAAATAGAAAAGCTACCCTCTTACTTCACCGAAAGTGGGGGGCTTTAGTCAGAAATAAGACAAAAAGAGGAAAGTGAGAGAGACTTTAGTTAGAAATAAAACAAAAAAATGGATCCTCTAGGTTAGTAATATATAATATAATATTTAATAATAATAATGATAAAGACACAAGGTTTTAAAAAAAATAATATAATAATGAATAAAAAAACGAATATATATATATATATATATATAAAGTTATAAGATATATTACGTAAATAAAGAAATAATCAAATAAAAATAATTAAGAATATATATATTAATAATAGGTATATAAATAAACTATTAAAAGTATAAAATATATATATATATATAACTATATAAAGATAATTACAATATATATAGTAATAATAGACTTATAAATAAAATATTAAAGAAACATATATATATATATATAATAATAAAATATAGTAAAAAAATCAAATGAAAATAATTTGAAATATATATATATACGTATAATAATAATAACATGAATAATAAAAATAAATGAATGAAATATCTATATAATAAATAAAGGGACTAATATAGATTTTTAAAAAGCTCTTCCCCTTCTTTAACCGAAAATCAAACCGGTTTTTCAAAATAAGCCTCGGGGAAGCGTAGATCTAAGAGAAAAGATCTCGGTTCCCTTGTGTTCATCGACCCTTTCAAAGTAAAAACGGAAAAGAAGAAGTGAAACAAACCACATGCAAGCGAGAATCGAAGCAATATAGGTAAAAATACATCTTTTATTTCTCTGTTGAAAATTACAAGCGAATCTTTGGGGCTTCTTGCGTATTTGCTTTGGGTATTTTTTTGTGTGTGCGTAATCCCGTATGATAATCGTGTCTTACAAATGGGAAGGATTACATGTATTTATAGTAAAAAAAACTAACTAACAATAGAATCCTAATGCAACTAGACTCCTTGCTCGGTTGTTGCACCTTTGTTGGTGTGGTTGTTGCTTTAAAAGATATGGTGGTGGAAGAGTCATCTTAGGATATGAACTCTTGCTAGTTCTATCTTTTAAGAAAATTGGTGTCTACAGCTGCCCCTCTTTGTCTTCTTTCGTGGAACAAAAAATAGGACAAAGATAAAAAGACACAAATTTTCATTCAGTGGAGTTGAAGAATAACTCCATGTAGAATTGAGTTGCGGATGGCTCCTTCATCGCGAAGTCGAGTCCATCTTGAAATGATTTGAATCAGAATGTGGCTTCTCGTTGTAGTCCACTTTGGTATTCTTCTCGGTTTAAAGACCTTGGCTAAAAATTCGACTGGAAAGTAATCCCTTGACTCCACAATGTGGTTGATATGCTCTCGAGCTGAATGAAACCGAACTCGAAAAGTCTTCGTTGACAGATAGCTTTTCTCGATTTAAGCTATGCTGACGGAAAAAAGGCTTCTTGCTACTAAGGCACGGCTAACCCAGATCTTCTTCTCGGCTTGAAAACCTCGATTGTAGCCGGACAATAGTGTGATTGAGGTTTCATCGAGCTGAATGGAATCGAACTCGACAATTTTCGCTGACAGATAGCCCTTCTTGCCTTGAGCTATGCTGTAAATTTGATTTACCTCTGAGCTGAATGTAATCGAACTCGAAGGTCTTTGATGATAGATAACCCTTCTTTGAGTTGGATATCCTTCGTCGTGAAGTTGAAATGCAATCTAGAGATGGATGTTGCTTGTGTGCACGATTCCCCTTCGTCATGAAGTTGAAACCGCGGGTGGCCCCTTCGTCGTGAAGTTGAGCCTGGTAATTGGATATCCTTCATCGTGAAGTTGAAATCGAAGTGGGTAGTATTGTTCCGAGTCCAATATTCTCCGCCGTGAAGTTGAAATTGGTTCTGGAACTGGGAAATTGTTTGTTGACAACCAGCCGTCCCTTCGTTATGAAGTTGAACTTGTGTTGTCTCGAGTCCAATATCCTTCGCTGTGAAGTTGAAATTGGTTCTGAAATTGGGAAATTGTTTGTTGACAACCAGCCGTCCCTTCGTTGTGAAGTTGAACTTGTGCTGTCTCGAGTCCAATGCCCTTCGCTGTGAAGTTGAAATTGGCTCTGAAATTGGGAAATTGTTTGTTGACAACCAGCCGTCCCTTCGTTGTGAAGTTGAACTTTTGTTGTCTCGAGTCCAGTGCCCTTCGCTGTGAAGTTGAAATTGGCTCTGAAATTGGGAAATTGTTTGTTGACAACCAGCCATCCCTTCGTTGTGAAGTTGAACTTGTGTTGTCTTGAGTCCAATATCCTTCGCTGTGAAGTTGAAATTGGCTCTGAAATTGGGAAGTTATTTTGTTGAGTTAATCGAATGACGAAATTGGCCAAGAGGGGGGTGAATTGGCAATAAAAATTTTGTGGAAGCTTTTGCAGAAAATTGAAAGCAATTGCACAGCGATTTACAGT